TTCATGGAGAACTGTTAATTGCAACATTCTCGAGAAAAGATCAACTGCACAATTGTCTGAATGAAAGCAAGCTGTACTTGGGGTACCCAAGGCTGGTCAGCCAGCTATCTCCCCTATGTCAAGGGTTTTTGAGAATAGCTCCCACTGGCCTCTCCAAGTCCCTTTTCTAGGCAGATAAGGTGTTCACAATGGCAATTATCTATTGTTAAACATAGAATCAAAGGGAGGGACAAAGGCAAGAGCACACATCAAATGAATGGAGTCATAAGCATCTTACACCAGACCAGGGATTTAAGAGATTACAAATAGAAGCAGGGACCTGACATAGGACATAGGACATAGGACTATCTCTTAGCTAGGAACAGACAGAAACTGTTTTGACCATAAACAGAACTCTTAACCTGCAAGGTATATTCTTGGTTTCAGTTTCCCATTACACTGTGTGGGATATTTTCGGTTTCCATTTTACAGAACCAAGGAGCAAGGGATCTGAAGAAGTGTTCCTCCCATTAGGCCCTTCCTCTTTTTTTTTTTTCTTTTCGAGACAGGGTTTCTCTGTGTAGCTTTGGAGCCTGTCCTGGAACTCACTCTGTAGACCTAGCTGGTCTCGAACTCACCAAGATCTGTCTGCCTCTGCCTCCTGAGTGCTGGGATTAAAGGAGTGCACCACCAACGCCCAGCTAAGGCCCTTCCTCTTAAAGGTTCTTCCACCCTCCAATTCTGCCAATTGTCAAGCAAGCTTCCAACACAAGAACTTTTGAGGGAGAAACTACACGGAAACCGTGTCCAAGTCACAGGTAGATAGCCACTGGCTTAAGTGGCTGCATCTTGATGTCTAGTAGAATGAAGCATGAATCTCCAGAGGATAATCTCAACCCAGGCTCCAGAGGCTCCCCATGATCTTGGGAAATTCTAAGCCTGAGATGCCAATGAAAAGCAACAAAGATAAAACCCATAAAAACACAAAATCGAAAGCCATAACATATAAGCAAAAGACCAATAGGGTAAAAACTCCCCAGACAAAATTCTCCAAAAACAAGATTTGGCTTTGAGTTTTTCATCTACTTCTGGGCCTTTAGTGTGGTTTGTATACCCTATGAGACTGTTGCCTCCATTAAAGAAAACTAACTTTTCCTTAACAAACGGTTTCCAATTTGAGACCGCTTCTTGCTTAGGGATGGGAGATCATGTCGTCTTCTCCCTTAGTCTGGGACCCCATCTTGCTTGGACTTGTGCAGGTCCTGTCCACACTGCCAGTCTCTGTGAGTTTGTATGTGTGTCAGTTCTGTGAGTTTGAATGTATGTCAGTTCTGTTGTGTTCGGAAGGGTTGGTTTCCTTGGTGTTTTCCATCCCCACTGGCTCTTACAGTCTTTCCACCTACTCTTCCTCAAAGTTGAGTGAAATGTTTTTCATCCCAGGTATGTAAATCCAAGGCAGATAAAACTAATCTGGTTCTTCGCTTAGCCAGTAACTAACTATATTTGATACTTTTAGATACAGTGTAGCAGCATTACCTAGGCATTTCGCCCAAGCTGCTCCAGCACTTCCTGGACTACTCCTATGAGCTTTGAACCTTCCTTGCCTTTCTCTGACCTCTGACCCCTCCTGGCCTCCTTCTCGGAACTATACTTCTGATTCACTGCTAGGACAGCCTGAGATGCTTTCAGTTCGGCCAAAGTCCATAAGCCAGACGTAATCAGTGTGGACTGAGCACATTATCTACCTCCAAACAGCTGATTTCTTGTGGCCTCAGTTACATATTTTGGTTGTCAGGTGGGATTTTAGTAGATATTTTTCACAGTTTTGAAAATATGTAATCCATTATACTGTTAGAAAGAGAGGCATCTGCTTTAAAGCAGTCACAGCTCTTACCAGTTCTATCCTTCCTAAGGAACAAGATAGGATAGAGCAATAGAAATGAAAGAATATGTAGTTTCTTTCTCCTACTCAACTCATTCAACTATGCTGGCTTTTTTGATGCTGTTGTGTTTTGTGTGGGGGGGTGTTTTGGTTTGCCTTTTTTTTTTTTTGGTTTTTACGAGACAGGGTTTCTCCGTATTGTTTTGGAGGCTATTGGTCCAGCCCAGCCTCGAACTCACAGAGATCCGCCTGCCTCTGCCTCCCGAGTGCTGGAATTAAAGGTGTGTGCCACCACCGCCCGGCTGGTTTGCCTTTTTGATAAGGTTTCTTTCTTTCTTTCTTTCTTTTCTTTTTTTGGTCTTTTTTCGAGACAGGGTTTCTCTGCATTGCTTTGAAGGTTGTCCTGGAACTCGCTCTGTAGACCAGACTGGCCTCGAACTCAGAGAAATCCACCTGCCCCTGCCTCCCGAGTGCTGGGATTAAAGGCATGTGCCACCACCAGCTGGCTAGCAATACTTCTTTTAAGCTCTAAAGAGTCATAGTGTTTACTGTTTACTCAGTATGCCTAAGAGAAGACTGGGCGTGTAGCTTAGTGAAGTGCTTGCCTAGCATTCAGAAAGCTTTTGGGAGGGAGAGGCAGAAGGATCAGTTCAAGATCATCCTGGACTACACACAGTAAATCTAAGACACACTTGATCCATCTCTCCAGCCCCTATGTGTCTTCCTTACCACAGGAAGAAGTGATTGTTGTTTGGTTTTTTGTTTTTGTTTGTTTGTTTGTTTGTTTGTTTTTTGGCTCCCCGGCCCAGCCCTGAGACAGGGTTACTCTATGTAGCCCTGGCTATTCTAGAACTTGCTCTGAAGACCAGGTTGACCTTGAACTCAGAGATCCGACTGCTTCTGCCTCCTGAGTGCCGTTTTTCCCTTGTCTCGCCACGTATTCATAAGACTTAACCCACAGTTTCCTCAGCTAGAGAAATATTCAGTTGTCTGTAGTCTATCTTCTTCCTCGTTGGAATAAATTTGTTTGAGACAAGGTCTCTTTATGTCACCAAGCCTGGCCTTGAACTAGCCAAGGATGACTCTGGTCTTCTCATTCTCCGGTCCCTTCCTTCCTAATACCAGGGGTTACTGGTGTGCATCGCCACCCCATTTATGCAGCGTTAGGGAATAAAATCTAAGGTGTTAACTCCATTTACTTGTTCAACTGAGTCATTGGTGCACAAAATCTGCAGCAGAATGCTCCTGAAAATTTTGTGGTCAGCCAGCTCTTTATAAATTAAGAACAATAACTTCTAATATACAAAGAAAAGGTACTAGGAGAACAATGACCTAAGTAAGGACTACATTTTCTTTGGAGGAATTTGGAAGGCAATACCAGGACTTGGTTTGAGGACATATGGAATGTCTGTGGATTTGCTTTAGCAGGTCTTTAAAAAAACATTAAGCATATATATATATATACATATATATGAGTAATTTAAATATATAAGCCTATATCAGGACTATATCAGAACACTCAATGAGTTCCCCTAAAAGCTACAAAAAGTCTTGAATATGTTGTGAGATCTACCATTATATAGTAAAATGTGGCAGTGTTGTAACAGAGGAAGAGGAATTAAAATTTAGTTCAAAACAATGAAAGTACAGTCAGACCTATCTATGGATTCCACACCCAAGGGTAAAAACCAAAACCATAATTTTCAGCAGGGTGTTGGTGGCTCACGCCTTTAATCCCAGCACTCGGGAGGCAGAGACAGGTGGATCTCTGTGAGTTGTTTGAGGCCAGCTTGGTCTACAAGAGCTGGTTTCAGGACAGCCTCCAAAGCCATACAGAAACCCTGTCTCGAAAAAAAACAAAAAAAAAAAAGAAAGAAAGAAAGAAAAACAAAAACAAACAAACAAACAAACAAACAAAAAACCAAAAACAGATCACATCACATACTATGTAGCTAGATTTCCAATACTCTGAAGTATATTGAATGAGCTTGGAGATTGTCACTTTCCTTAACTGACATTATATAGTATTCTATTTGGCATAAGTTATAATCGAGAGGTGATTTAAATATTGGGGAAACTGTGTAGATTGTATGCAAATCAAGTAGTACACCACTTCATAAGAAGGACTTGAGCACCCATGGGATTCTGTGTGGACGCTGGGGACTGTTGTGGAAGTCAACTGCCCCTGGGCTACCCAAGAAAAACCAAAGCAAGCAAACAAACGGAGTAACTGTACTCATACAGATGGTGTTTTCACTGGAGCAAATCATAGGACCAGTGACTTAAAACACTAAGGTGTTTTAGACCAGCCCCCTAACATCTACTGTTAATCTGATGGAAGGAAAGATGATCCACAAAAATTTGGGGTATCTGTAAACACTTGACAGAGTATGTCAAGGCTAGACAGAACACAGGGAAAGGACCCGGACCGACGCTCATTAGAATTTGGGGCCTGAACTTGGGAGATAGGAGCAAAGAAGATAACCGCCAGTGTCATGATTTAGCGTGTCGGAGAGTTCGATCTGAAGCGTAACTGGCAAGTGTGCTAGCAAAAACCCCCATGCCTAACGTGGACAGAAGGGACACAAGTCCAGCGGACTCCCAAGAATCAGGTCAACTCCTGTTTCTTCCTGAGAGCTCCGCTGCACACCCCCCTCGTTTTTTCCGCAAATACTAGGGGAAGGGAACAGGGGCTCCAGGAGGTGATCCTGTCGGCCTCAAGTGCCGCACCTTCCCCAGCCCTGGGCGCTCGGTCACTGGGAGAGCGGGAAGGTGGTGCAACCGAGCGAAGGTCACCAGCAGGCGTCCACTCTGCGGCTGGCAACGGTCGCCAGCTGAGCGGGCGGCAGTCGTGGCTCTCCCCGCGGGCGGCGGCCGACGGCGTCTTCGGACTCAAGTCGCACCTGAACTCTGCACGCCGCGCCCCGCCTCCCACACGCGCCGGCTCAGGAACCCGCGGGTGACGTCATCCGCGCCTACGCCTTACGTCACAGGGCCTGTCGTAAGTGCCGGGCAAACGAGGCCTCCCGAGCAAGGGCGCCCTCTGGGCGCATCCTAACTTGCTGGCCCGCGTGCGCGCGCACCTCCGCGGGCGAGGCCCCGTTGCTGAAGCCAATGAGACGCGGCTACGTCACGTCGCCGCGCCCGGCGCTGGCGTTCGACGGGCCGCGGGCGGGCAGAGCAAGGGCGGTTGCACCGACACCGGTACTTAGGCGCGGGCCGGCGTGTCCTTGGGCTAGAGAGCGGGACGTCCGTCTTCGGGTCGCAGCGGCTGTGGTGCTGATCCCCTGCGAGCGGTGAGCGCGTGACGGGGACGCGGGGCGGGAAGGGTGCGAGGAGGCCCGCGCGGGTCGTGACCCGGGCAGGGGCATGCGGGGCTGCGGCAGGGCTGGAGGCGGCGTGGGCGCAGGGCCGAGGCCCCGAGTGCCAGAGACGACTCGCCCACCGCCCATTCACAGAGCAGAGGCTGCTACCCCTCTGCACCTGGCCGGTTCTTTCCCTGATCAGGCATCCGGAAGAGGGTGGGTTTCTTCATCAGCTTGAGGCCGGCTTGGATGAGTGACCTCGTGGTCCACCCCAGCCCCATCCCTCGACCCCCCCTTCACCTCCCGTGGATCTCAGGAAGCGAGAAGAAGGTTCCTGCCCCAGCCCTCCCTTGCCTTCCGGTGCTAGACTAATGCTAGAGAGTGACTTAACCCCTCCAAATGAAACCAGAGTAGCTGAAAGCACTTATGACACCCCCACCCCCCCGCGCCAACCCCATTGCTGTGTTTTGTCTTATCTTTAATTGTCTTTAATTGGCAGCACAGACAGCAATTAAGCACCCTGAAACGTTAGAATTGCTGTGGTTTTGGTTTAATGCAATTGTAATTAGACTTCATATCTGTTACTTTTTGACCTTTCCTCCTCCTGAGGTTTGAGTTGGGTTCCCACTTCCTTGCCTTGGGCACGAACCTATCATGAACATAGACTGTCCTTAAAAAGGGGGGGGCTACCAATTAGTGTGCTTGCTATTGGAGAGTACTGAGAGTAGACAAGTAAGGTCGCATCCGTCCTGGTGTTAATGGACATAAAATAGCAGTGGGTTGGTAGTTAGGTGATTTGAATGGCCATTGGGATCCGTTGTGTGTGTTCTGTGAGCAGGTTATTTGAACTCTTAGGTCTTTTCATTTTTAGAATTAAAAATGGGTGATGTTGAGAAAGGCAAGAAGATTTTTGTTCAGAAGTGTGCCCAGTGCCACACCGTGGAAAAGGGAGGCAAGCACAAGACTGGACCAAATCTCCACGGTCTGTTCGGGAGGAAGACAGGCCAGGCTGCTGGATTCTCCTACACAGATGCCAACAAGAACAAAGGTAAGTGGGGACACAGCATAGATTGCATCTGTGATTGCATGGGTGTAACCAATGGCAGACTTACCAGGAATATAAAACACTTAACCACTGCACCCCTTTCTGTTCAGGCATCACCTGGGGAGAGGATACCCTGATGGAGTATTTGGAGAATCCCAAAAAGTACATCCCTGGAACAAAAATGATCTTCGCTGGAATTAAGAAGAAGGGAGAGAGGGCGGACCTAATAGCTTACCTTAAAAAAGCTACTAATGAGTAATTCCGCGCCTTATTTATTACAAAACAAATGTCTCATGACTTTTAATGTGTACCATAATTTAATTCATACACCAAAATTCAGATCATGTTTTTCTTGGACAGTCCTGATTTAAGTAAAAATGACATGTAGTAAAGTGGATATGATCTTTTTTTAAAATAACAATTCCAGTTGCATAAATACTATCACTGCTCTCCCTTTCTCAATATAGGATTGGACTGAATTATTAAAGTTGTACTTTCCACAAAAATGGGGGTGTCACCACAAACCTATTGGATGGTTTTATACTTAAATTTATATGACTTGACGAATGAGTATGTTTAAACCCCGGGGAAAAAACCTGTCACTGTCTCAGAAATGAGAAGACTCACCTGTGTTTCAGTTTATACTCACTGGTCTGTTACAGGCAATCATCAGGAAGTAACTGTTCTTGACTTGATGATGTCATTTTAGTTAGAATCTCCTAAGTCAAACAATGCTGCCTTTTGCCACTGAAAGGCACTTACTGTGGTCTATGTATAATATCAAATAAAGAGTATTTAGCACTTCTTTATAGTTGGTCTATTAAGTTAAAATACTTCTAGAAGCCAGCAACTTAGACCTCACTTTTTAATTTTGTTTTGTTTTGTTTTTGTTTTTTTTCGAGACAGGGTTTTTCTGTATTGTTTTGGAGGCTGTCTGTCCAGCCCGTCCTGGAACTCACAGAGATCCGCCTGCCTCTGCCTCCCGAGTGCTGGAATTAAAGGCGTGCGCCACCACCGCCTGGCCACTTTTTAATGCAGGAAGGAGACAGTCTTAGCAGCAAAGGTATCTTTCTTAGAGATAAGGAAAATGAGACAAAAATGTGGCATCTTTAACTCATCTGCTTGTTCTTAGTGATTATAGATTGCTGGTTTAGTGGTATAAAGGAAAGTCATGAGTTCCTTCCCAGAGCTCATTGTATTTTGAATGTTTAGAAAGAAAGGATCTGCCCAGCTGAGTGGTGGTGGTGCACGCCTTTAATCCTAGCACTCGAGGCAGAGGCAGGCAGATCTCTTGAGTTCAAAAGACCAGCCTGGTCTACAAGAGCTAGTTCCAGGACAAAGAAACCCTGTCTCGAGAAAAGAATCTGCCCAATAGAACTTCTAATAAGGGTGGATCTTTTCAACATGTGTCCATATCGCACCTGTGGCTATTAAACCCATGGAATGTACATAAAATAACTGCAGAACTGAATTTTTTTTGTTTTTTTCCAGATAAGGTTTCTCTGTGTAGCAGCTTTGGCTGTTCTGGAACTCACTGTGTAGACCAGACTGGGCTGCTTCTGCCTCCCAAGTGCTGGGATTAAAGGCATGAGCCACCACTGCACTGCCTGACTTGTTTTTTTTTGTTTGTTTGTTTGTTTTTTGTTTTTTTTTTTTTTCGATACAGGGTTTCTCTGTGGCTTTGGAGGCTGTCCTGGAACTAGCTCTTGTAGACTAGGCTGGTCTCAAACTCACAGAGATCCGCCTGCCTCTGTCTCCCGAGTGCTGGGAATAAAGGCATGAGCCATCACTGCCTGACTTGAATTTTTATTCAACTAAAATTTCTGTAGCCTGCCGGGCGTTGGTGGTGCACACCTTTAATCCCAGCACTTGGGATTAAAGCACGGGTATTCTATTCATTCACTTCAACACTGGAGAGAAAAGGCCTCAACACAGACTAGCTTTCTACCGCTACATAGACACTTCACATTGGTCGAACTCAAGTAAGCTAGACCCATTCATTTCTAGTGATACCTAGAATGTTGTTAGAATATTTGAAAGCTGGGCCCTGAATGGGAGCTGCATAGATCATCCAGGTGAACTCAAGCTTGATAGCATGCAAACACAACAGAACTCCTTCCTGTTCCCCTTTGGCTGCATAGATTTGTTTAATAAAAGAGCATCGAGTTTAGACATAATAATTGGGTTTAGATTATTTTGGTTGGGAATTTAGTGTGATTGAAAAAAGTCATATCCTAAAGTTTACCACATGCATTTATTCTGGGAGAATGTTCTGATTCATTGGCAATCTTCCTGTCAACATAGTGTGCAGCTCATCGTTCTAAGAAATACACATTGACAGGGGACCAGTGCCATTCAGTTTTTAGAAATGGACTGACTTCAGTTGCTAGAGTTTTGTTTAAATGACCCTGTTTTAATCACATTGATGTCTCAATATGATGGTGATTAGAAAGATAAGATGTTTTACAATCCAACTGACATTTTACAGATGTTAACTGAGTAGGCGTGTGTAGCTGAAGAGCAACAGATGAAATGAGAACCAAGAAGCCTTTGCTATTGCTCTTATTCAAAATTTCCTATTCTGGGTTGAGCAGATGGCTCAGGTAAAGGCACCTACCTGCCTTCAAGACTAATGACCTGAGTTCAATCCTGAGGATCCACATAATTGAAGGAGAGAATTGACTGAGCATATTGCCCTCTGACCTCCACACATGCACAGTAAGATTCTCAGGAACTTTTCTTCCTCTTCAGTAGAGATCCACATTGGGCTCATATTTAATAGATGTCTATAACATTTAAACATTGAGTTAGTATTTTTTACATTTCATTTAAATAGGACTGCAGCTTGAATAGTAAACTTGGAGAAAGTCAAACTAGATTATTGTGTTGTTTGAGGTGTAGTGTAGAAAATGCTACGCTGGGGACCTGGGAACTGTTTAGACTACTGTATCAATACATACTTAATAGAACAGGCACTCCTATGTTGTCTAGGGCTGGTTTCATGTTGCACTAGCACTTGGTAGTAACAGTTTCATGTTGAAGGTCATGGAGGATTTTAGTTCTACATCAGCCTGAGCTACACAGTGATCCTCTGTCTCAAGAGTAAAAATAGTTACATAAAGAAATTGTGTACCTAAAACTTTAAATCTTGGCCAGTCAGTGGTGGCCCATGCCTTTAATCCCAGTACTTGGGAGGCAGAGGCAGGTGGGTCTATAAGAGTTTGGGGCCAGCCTGCTCTAGAGATCAAGCCCCTGGACAGCCTCCAAAGCAATAACAGAGAAACCGTCTCAAACGAAAAAAAAAAAACTTATATGTGATGCTTTAAGAAAGTTTCAACAGGCCTGGGCTGTAGCTCAGTTGATAAGACTTTAGTGTGTGTGAAGCCCTGGTTTTGATACCTAGTATTCCAGGGATGGTGGTGCATTCTTGTGATTCCAGTACTTGGAGACCTTATCAGAAGTTCAAGGTCATCCTTGGCTACACAGTGAGTTTGGGCCAGTCTGCATTATCTAAGACTGAAAAGTAGAAACGGAAGCTGGGTGGTGGTGGTGGTGCACACCTTAATCCCAGCAATTAGAAGGCAGACGCAGGTGTGTCTCAATGAGTTTGAGACCAGCCTGGTCTGTAGAGCGAGTTCCAGGACAGGCTCCAAAGCTACACTGAAAAACCCTGCCTCGAAAGAGAAAACAAACAACAACAACAACAACAAAAAAAACCCACTTAATTTCAACTGTTTCAGGGCTTTGCCAAACGGCAGAACAGTTGTGTTGCTTATAAATGGGCAAAGCTTAAAGGTCACCTAGATGAATTGCCTTGCTAGCTGTCATATGACTACACTGATGACTTGATGACTACACTTTCCAGGGTGACTTATAAACTTCATAGGAACTTAGTTATCTCTCATTCTAGAGATTTTTTTATTAGTTGGATATGGTAGAGCATGCCTTTAATCCAAGCACCAGGAGGCAGAGGCAGAAGGATCTTTGAGCTCAAAGCCAGCCTAACCTACAGAGAGATCCTAGACAACCAGGGCTATACAGGGAAGCCCTGTCCCAAAATAATAAGGATTTACTTATGTTTTATGTGTATGGCTGTTTTGCCTGTGTCTGTGTGAGAACCATGTGTGTGCCTGGTGTCCACAGAGACCAGAAGTGGGTATCAGATCTGGAATGCCTTACAGATGGAGCCTGGGTCCTCTTAAGATTAGCAAGTACTTTTTTTTTTTTTTTTTGGTTTTTCGAGACAGGGTTTCTTTGTATTGTTTTGGAGGCTGTCCTGGAACTTGCTCTGTAGACCAGGCTGGCCTCGAACTCGCAGAGATCTGCCTGCCTCTGCGTCCCTAGTGCTGGGACTAAAGCGTGTGCCACCAACGCCTGGCTCAGCAAGTACTCTTAACTACTTAGTCATCTAATAGATACTTTCTAAATTATGTACACAGAGTTTGTAATACATTTAAAGTATGACTTTCTGTTTCTTTTGCTGGTGAAGGTTCGAGGAAAACAGACCCCAAAGAGTTTGAGCCTTCAGCTGACAGTGACTAAGCTGACGTTGTGTTAGCCTTAGAGTTGTGGAGATTTAAGAAATTGTATGTGGCATGTTAACCAGCACTCCATAGCTAGTTTTGGACTAGCTAGACCAGACATACTGCCATTCTGTTTACAGGGCATTGGTGGTGCATACCTTTAATCCCAGCACTCAGGAGGCAGAGGTAGGCAGGTCTTTGTGAGTTGAAGGCCAGCCTGGTCTACAGAGCAAGTGCCAGGATAGGTTCTAAAGCTACACAGAGAAACCTTATCTCAAAAAACAAAAACAAAAAAAGCACTTAGGAGTAAAGGTGACATGATTTTTCCAAGTGGAGTGAACCCGAATTTCACTGGAACAGAAGTGCCATTAGACACATGCCATGACATAAGCAGTCATTCTATCCTTGTGTGAGATCAAGAACTTATGAATTGCAACCTTCACATGTCCCTAAGAGCATCTAAACAGGGCTGAGTTTGCTTGAATGAATGGGTGCCTAATGTTCATGCACTCATTTTTTTTTTTGTTTCCTTGGCTATAACTGTAGCATAGTAAGAACTATATGGTTTTGAGAATGAAAATAAATATGATATGCCTGTAAAGCACCTTGCACGGTACGTTCCCCTAAGTCAGTGGATCTCAACCTGTGGGTCATGACCTCCTTGGTCAATTGACCCTTTCACAGGGGTTGCATATCAGGCACTCATCTTCCAAGTGTGTCTAGTTTTCCAGTAACCTGACAACATTTGGTTAGTTTGTTGTTTTGGTTGATATGTTGTTATTCTGAGACAGAGTGTCTGAGGTTAGTTTGCTACATACTTAAGATTCTCCTGTCTTAACCTCCTAAGCTCCAAATTACAGATGCGTCACCATACCTGGCTGATGATGTTCTTATCTCATTTGCTGGTGTAACACAAGTCCTGGCCAACTTTTCCCAAACCTTAATAGTTGTCTCAACAAGAACAGAGACAAGCCAGGCATTGGTGGCACACGCCTTTAATCCCAGCACTCAGGACAGAGGCAGGCGGATCTCTGAGTTCGAGGCCAGCCTGGTCTACAGAGTGAGTTCCAGGACAACCTCCAAAACAATACAGAGAAACCCTGTCTCGGAAAGAAACAACACACACACACACACACACACACACACACACACACACACAAAAAAGAACAACAAAACAAAAAGCCAAGAATGGAGACACATCCGGTGGTAGTGTTTGTGTTAGAGGCAGCAGAGGGTGGGGTAAATTGAGTTGCATGTTCAGTCTTCTGCTTCCCTGGAATT